ATAAAAAAAAAAGGGTGGAGGGGATGTTTATGGAAGGGCAATAAGAGCTTCGGCTTGACGGCTCACTGACGCCATTTCTCAATGTAGATTTTCAGTAAGAGGCGTCATGCTGTTTGTGCTATGTCAAGATTTGGAGAAAAGTCCGTATTCCAAAGGACCTGCTGTACCGAAAATCGGCAGAGGGGGGCAAGAAATGATGGACAGCCACGATTGAACTACAAAGAGGCGTGTAAATGAAACATTATGAGAAAAGCCAGCATCGGAATTATCAGAAAGCAGTGAATCGAACAAGCACAGTATGCCTGAAACAAAAAAAAAATGTGTTACGGAAGCCCAAGGTGTCCTGTGGGATTGCTGCATTTTCCATTTCTTTCCTTAGAAAAGTCATTGTTTTTGGATTTCGATGATATATATCACATCCTACAGAGTTTCCCAATAAGTAAACATCTGAAAGTGTCAACTCTTGGAAACTCAATGGCATGTCGCTGGACTTCAAAAAGAGCATCAATTTTGAAAGGAAAAACAACAAACTTTATATGGATTGGACATTCCTCCATTGTCAACTGTAACTCAACCATTTTGTCCATGGGATTGCTGCATTTTCCATTTTTTTCCTTAGAAAAGCCATTGTTTTTGGATTTCGATGATATATATCACATCCTACAGAGTTTCCCAATAAGTAAACATCTGAAAGTGTCAACTCTTGGAAACTCAATGACATGTCGCTGGACTTCAAAAAGAGCATCAATTTTGAAAGGAAAAACAACAAACTTTATATGGATTGGACATTCCTCCATTGTCAACTGTAACTCAACCATTTTGTCCATGTTGTTTGCCTCACTTGTATATATTACAGTCCTATGTATGTTTAAATTTTATTTCTGACGAACTGTCTCTCTCTCTCTCTCTCTCTATGTATATATATCTATCTCTCTCTCTCTCAATCTCTCTCTCTGATTCTCTCACCCTATATGTTCAGTCTCCCTACGCAAGCAGCTCCAACAGATGAACATTGCATGTGTGCGTTCGAAGCTCCAGGTATGCCAACGTGTCCTCGTTTTATAGCCATTTTAATTGTTTCTATAGTATAGTAGTTACTATCCTAATGTCTCATTTTTATTGTTGTTAGTTTACATGTTTTTAATAATTGTAAAGCGCTTAGAGCTTTAAGGTAAGCGCTATATAAAAATGCCTAAATAAATAAATAAATATACAACTTAGCGCAAAGCATAATACATCCGCTAAAACAAGCTTTTTTTAAAAAAAAAAATAAAAAAATTCAGCACAAAATTTAACCAACACTAACACTACGACGGCCTCCTCCTGTTGGTCTGCTAAAAGAGATTACTTACATAAACTCAACATTCTTCGTCCATGTAGGCAAAGACGATTGTCTAGTCGAATTGTTGCCGTAATTTATATACCTCACGTGGACATATGAAAATCCAAATTCAAACAATGTCATAATATCCTCAGCATCGTTATCTTTGATTAACTAAGTGAACTTCCTGAAGCTGTATGCCAATGAAAACGAAATGCCCCTCTCCCCACCATCCCATATAAATTAATTATATTTTTATCCAAAATTCTAAAGTAAACCGTTCTTCGTGAAATCACTTTTTGTCGTCAAACATTAAACAATAATTTTTAAAACTTTTATTTAATTTAAAGGGTTAAATGAAGAAAAAAAAATATTAAAAAAATATGGGTTTAAAATTATATATATATTTTTTGCATGTCCATCATTTTTTTTTTTCAAAATTTTATTTCGAATCTTATCAAAGTTGTATAATTTCATAAATAAGTTCAAAGAAGTACGTCACTGATAGCTGACATTTCTAGGAAATTAAAAAAGGGCACAAACTGTACAAAACATAAACAAAACAAGAGTCATGCATCCTGGTTGTTACTGCACGTCTTGAACCAAGATTTTGCCTATTTTAAATGAACAGTCTAAGTCATTGGCACGCCTAAATGTTTAAACCACTGATAGTTTCAAGCTTCAATTAAATGAAATGACAAGCTCTGAAAGAACTAACAATATTCTTTTCAACATTGTTAATATAACAGCATTTTATGACAGCATATTATCTAGACTAGTTCCAATCATTGCTGAAAAATGACACTCTCTTTTTCGGGCCGAGCTATGGCTCTTTTATTGCCACAGCAAGCACTTTACTGGCGTGCCGCATCTGCTGGGCATCGCAGGAGATCACATTTTCTGTTGTGGATGTCTGGGGTGTTCCCCAACCCCTCCACTCATTAGTGTTGGGCACTAGGCTAGCAAGTGCACTACTGTCTCCGGCGCCTGTCTTCAATGACGGCAGCTCGTGACCCGAAGAGGATGCAACCTATTCATGTAGCTTCGAGTAGGACAGTGTTCTGTTCTTATCTGGGTGATGAGGCTCTGATGTTCGCGTTTTACTTTCCACCAGTGATCCCTTTTCTTGTTTGGGTGTAGCATGTTCCGGTAAAGTTTATGGGCCGTGTCCCCTTTTCATTTTTTTTTTAGTCATTCCTCTCGGAAGATGTTTTCTAACCACACTTTGACCCCTCCCCCCATTTGGATCATTGATCGGTTTGGTTGTGGCTGGGCAGACCCTTGCCTTGCTAGAACGTCAGCTCTTTCATTTTGGGGTCATCCCGTGTGTCCAGTGATCCACTGAAGGACCACTCTGCCTCCATGTGACTTTATGTCTTGTATTGTGTCCATTACTGCGTTAAACCTTTTCGTGTTTATTAATCCCCTTCTTAAAGCCTCTAACTCTAAGCCAAGATTTGAGTCGGTAAACACTGCGATGGGTGGGAGAGGTTTGCTTCTGGCTAATCTAAGGTGCACTTTTTTTCAGAGTCATAAGTATAGCTTCGATTTCTGCATCGAAAGTTGTGCTGTACTTACCACCCGGCCCTGGTATCTCCTCTGTTGGAGGTACCCTCCTTTGGTTACTGAATAAGTGGATAATCTACCACTTGAGCGTCGGCCAAGAAAAAATCCAGGTGTTCCCGTTTGAAGGGCTATTTAAACAACTATTCTTATATTATTTTTAATGACATTGGTTGTATGTATTCATTCCCATAATAATAGACAATTTTTTTAAAATTAGAAAAGCTATAACAATTTTTGTTGAAATAGAAGATAATGTGTGAACATGGAATTATGCATAGTTCTCCCCCAAGTTGACAATGAAGTTTAAAAAAATATAATTGCCACGAAAACAGTTGTGGTACCCGGTACATGAATCCACGAAAATATGAAGGGGAAAGATCAACGGCGCTTCTTGTGCCAAACTGTCTTTTCATTTTATGCTTTCTGAGCATCCACGTTTTCCACGTTCTGTGTGTGGACATCCGCGTCATCTGGGTTAAAAAAATAAATAATTTTTGTCTCTTTTTCTTCCTGGCATATCGGTAGCTTGGCAGTAATAATTATTTAAATGTATTAGTATTGTGCTATATAACTTTATAGCCTCTATACAGAAGCAAAACATATTAACAGACTCCAAAGTAAGAATAGTTGTTTAAATAGCCCTTCCAAACGGAACAACTGGATTTTTTCTTGGCCGACGCTGAAGTGGTAGATTACCAATAAGTGCGCCGTACCTAGCCTTTATTTACGTTGGTGAAGCAAGAGCCGTCTGTGTAGACTTTTACCATTCACTTCAAGGCAAGGGATAGTAGTTATTGTTTCCTGTACACACACTTCACCCCATCACAGATTGTGCAACAAATACCTTCTCCCTAATACTGCCAACAGAAGAGACTTTGTAAGTGTGATGAGGAGTTTCAGTGTAGAGCGTCGTTGAGGTTGGCTTTTGTACGACATAGATTTTATCTTGAGCCCGTCTTACAAGCAGCCGTCACTCAAATTAAAGGCATAGCCAGAACTTTAGACAATGTAATTATAACACAAGCGACAGGTACAAATTATTTATTACTTTTCATACCCAGGAACCAGTCCATCCTTATGACGGACACTGGCAAAAAACAATTTATAGAAATACTTTAAAAATCTTTATACATTCCTGCAAGAAATGAATTTAAGTGACACGTATTTAAATTTTTGTTTTTATAGAATCCATCTCGCCACTATTATAACATACTCTTGACACCAAACGCTGTGAACAAATTCACTGTAACCCGTGTCCTTGTGTGATTGAAGTAAATAAGGTCAGCTTCCCTGTGGATGTGTTCGGAATCCAAGGAAGATTTTAATCTGCACTAATCGCAATGTGATGTACACCATCCTTTGTTTAAAAAAAAGTGCAGAAAATGCTATGTAGGGGAGACAGGCTGATGCCTTGGTGACAGTTTTGTAAACACCTGCACTAAAGAAAAACAAGAACTCTGTGCCGTTTTCAAAACATTGTTAATAGTGGCAACTACGATTCGGAAGTAACTGGTGTACCGGCACTGTAATCTAAAAGTGGATTCTTCGGGAAAATAAATTAGTTAAAAGAGACTTTTGATATCTTGCCTGCATATTGTATTAACCAAAGTCACTCTTTTACATGGCTGCTATTTCAAGTCCTGTTTGGCTTATAAATTGCTCATCTGCCCATATTTTATTTGTACAATTTTTGTTTTTTCTATTGCGGTACTGGTGATAGCATGTTTTTCTATTACTGATGATAGCATTAGCCAAAGTGTTAAAAAAAAAAATTATTATCTCCATCAATTAAATCTTAACCATTCTGTTTTATATTTTAATGTTTTATTTTTGGGAGGGGGGGGGGGCTAATCTTTATGTATACTGGTAATATAAATAGGTCTACTTCAAAAAAAAATACAAAAAATAAACACAATTATTTATCAATTAAATCTTAACCATTCTGTTTTATATTTTAATGTTTTATTTTTGGGAGGGGGGGGGGGCTAATCTTTATGTATACTGGTAATATAAATAGGTCTACTTCAAAAAAAAAATACAAAAAATAAACACAATTATTGAACACAGCTGACTGAAATTTTATAATTAAATTTATCTTGAATTTATTTTTTTCCATCTCTTGAAAACAAAATATTTTCCACATTAAACTCACTCATTCAATATGTAATAAATTAACTAAACATAATTTTACCACCCATACATTCACCTGCTGCTTTAAGTAAAAAAAATGATTAAAATTTATTAATTTATTTTAAAGAAAACTTGACCTTATCTCAGCAAGGACATTAAATAATCATGCCCTGGTCATTGATGTTATCTTTTGTTTACAGTCAACACTGACATATCAAAACAACACAGGTCAAATTTTAATCATTTTGAAAAAAAAAATTTTAAAGTCTTGTCAGGTGTGGTTCTTCTCATTTTGTAAGGCCTGGATCTACATGAAGAAGTCAGCAGCTGGTCAGCAGCTGTACAGCAGACATTATCAGTGCCCTAAGCATGAACTAGCCTTGATGTAATGTGCATGACCCAATTACAGTATGTGCAGTTCATACACAACATCTGTGTTTCCTTTTAATGATGTTATATTACTTTTTTGATATCAATAACAACAAAATTAACGGGCTATTTATTACACAATAAAACTGAGTGGAAGTAAGTGAAGAGTGTGTTTATTTTACTTGGTACGGTACTATATTTATATATATATATCATAAATTGAAAACATTGCATAAATAAATAAATACATTTGATGATGATTTTTATGGAGGTACCTCCTGCAAAAAACTTGTTTGGCAAACTTTGGGACAAATGAGCCCAAAAAATAGCTTCCGAGAACTGAGACCCGACCTGTCAACACTGAGCCGCTCAGAGACAATCGTATTGACTATTCAGCTGTAAATACAGACAGTTTTCATCATAAGTGACCGGTGCGTTTTCTAATGCACATTTAAGACCAGGCCTCCACTTGGAATCTTCTTTGCCTCTCCAGGTCATGGACGTACTGAGTGGCCTCCCCTGATGTCATGTTGCCGTATCTACTGATGACCTCAATTAGCGCTCCTTTCACATCATCAGGCATTGACTTGGCATTCCTTTGAATGTAGGTAATTAATTTTTTTATTTGAGCATTTATATAAATAGAAATGTAAAAAGCAAAGCTTTGACACTTTATTCTTTTCCAAGTCAAATCATGGAGCATGAAGCTAATTTTATAAAATGTTCATTCATAAATTTACTATTCATCCACACATGTAAAATTATTATGGATCTGTTTCAAAAGAAGCTCAATGTTATATATTTTTATATTTTTTAAAACTGTATACAATATGTTAGCAGATAAGTAACTCACCCAGCAATGTAAAATGAAGCATTCTCATTGCTGATTTTATGGAAGATCATCTCCCCTTCTTCTAGTATTTTATGCTGCACATAGACTTTTTCTTCCTGTGAATGAAATAAAAGACTGTCTGAAAAGAATGGCCCTTCCATTATTCAGTTGTACATTTTATTTATTAGGAAAAAAAATGTAAATTTATAAACATGCCCACATTTAGTTTTAGTGGTTCTCATCCCCCTGTAGCTAAGTGTCAGGGATCTTGTACTTTTATTGTAGAGCTCACTCATGAGCAGGTGAAGTTCTTTAAATCTGAAGGTGATGCCGTCTCATCAGTTTATCTACCAAGAACAAACCAGGTTTATTGCCTCTTACTTATACATATAGTTTGTCCTTTGTATGCGCAGAAGACCAGGGCTTGGACTTGAGTCGAAGCCTTGACTTGAAGTGTGTTTAGTTTAAAGTGAGGGAGAGTTGCTTAATTCGCCAGCCTCACTCTCTTGTCCTTATTGTTCACTCCAATGGCAAGACTCAGTCAAGGTGAATGAAAGTAGACCAGGATGCAGGAGATGACATGCAGTGCTTCTTGCGTCTCACTGTGCTCTTTAAGCTTTCCGCGTCGCAGGAGGTGTCGGACTTTTCATCTTTGACAATGTAATATCACCTTTGGGACACCATCTCCGGGTTTGATTTCAGAGTTTGCCTTCTCTTAGATGAGTGGCTGTCCAAGGTTGATGAGCCCCATGCACCCGCTAAGTTGATGCCAGCACAATAAGCAAAGTTAAAAGTAAGTGTGTGCGTGTAAAACTGTGCACAACATGTCTGTCCATAATGGCCTAGTTTTGTCTTGGGGCCTATCATGGGATTGGTTCATGAACTGGCCCGAAATGAAATCCTGGGCAGCTCCAAGTTGGTAGCTCATTATTTCATTAGCTCATTTAATGTGGTTGCGTTTAAGTGAGTAATACGAGTCCTGGCAATCACGTCCAAATACATCTTGCCACGTCCTGAAACACCACTCACATTGCTATTTAAATATAGCAACAAAATCACGCACCACAAAGACAGGATGTGATTTCAATAAAGAAAATCATAAGTTTTAATTTTGTTTCACTTTTGATCTTTGTGTGTTTAGTGAGGCGTGTTTTATATCTACCACATGTTTGTTCAAGGTGACCAAATAAAAATATTTTAGTCGTTATTCATTTTTTTTACGTCATTAATTATATAATTTTCATAAACCTAATTAGTTTATTGATGAAATATGTGAAAATTAATTTTTAGCGGCTAAAAAAATGTATAAATGTAAGTCAAACGCAAAACAGAATACCTTCCTTTGTTCAGGGCTATGGATTAATATAATGAAGTAGCACAGCTGTAGGGAATGAGTTAAGTCATGTATACTCAAATCTCACCTGGTCTCTAGAAAATGCTGTGAAGAATTTCAAAAGTCCTCTTTCTTTATATTTTTCAAATTCGTCAGCACAGTAATAATCTTTAAGTTTACTGCGGCAGCCGAAAAAGAGCACATTGCCTGTAGAAATTAAAACATGAAAATGCTGAGCATTGTTTGTCCACATACCCAATGGTGGATCAAAACATGACTTAAATTTTAAAAAATGTGTGTGAAAAAAACTCATAAAGTCAGTAAAGATCCAAAAGAACTCAATTTGTACATCTGTTATTCAGTGGAACCAATTTTATCTAGACAGCAATGAGGCCATGACAGGCAGTTTCGGCTCAAAACAGCAAGAACCCAGTACAGGAGCTGTCCATTCCTGCCAAAGACAATCATGACTGGAACAAGCTTCCAAAAGGACCAATGGAGGCAACAACACTTGACACATTTGCATCTATTGACTCCTGCCTTCTAACCCCCCCACCGCCGTTCCTGATACCCTTGCTGAGTAGCCCTTGCAACCAGTGAAGTATCCTCTTCAAATCCATGCACAGAAACTTCTTCAAACATCGGAGCCAGAATGAACAACACATTGATCATGGGCCCTCAAAATAAAGAAGAACAAGATATATCTTACCACTTATATTAGCTGCACATCTATCATGAATAACACTCCTGAATGGAGCCAATCCAGTTCCTAGAGCAACAATAAAAATATTACAAATAAGTTTAAAATCCAAAACCAGCTGTGTAGATGAAAACTGATCATACTAATGTAATTATTAGTTTATTGTAATGGCAGTTTAAATACTTTACAAATTTTTAATAATAGTAAAGCGCTTAGATCTGTAAGGTAAGCGCTATAAAAAAATGCCTAAATAAATTAATAAATTATAGAATATGTACTAAGTTGTGACATGATCTACAGGCCATATAAATATGAAATAAATTATTGTGAGAATTTTCAATTGCCATTCACGCTTTTTCATTAATAAAAACCTTCTCCTCTATTTTATAATTGCTGACACCAAAAGAGAAATATCAGGACTAAAATATATGTTGTTAGGTTGATAAAACAGCAATTTAGGTACTAAATTCACAACTGCCATTTCTTCATTTCCCAACCTTCAGCAAACACTTATTACTTCAAAAATTAAATTTTAAGTATGTTTTAAGTATGTTTGACAATAGTCATTGATTGAGAATCCACTTTAATGAAAGTGTCGGAATGAGAATAAATAGTTTAGCTATTTCAAATAATCACCAGAGAAAGTTTTTAAATGCATAAGGTTATTTAGCTAAGCAAATCTTATTGGTGTACCTGGGCCTACCATTATTAATGGCAAAGACGAATCAGCTGGGAATTTAATTGTGCCATGCTTCACCCAAATGGGAATCCTTGTGGGTCCATCTTCAGGTCTTAAACTGGACAGCCATGTGGAACACACACCTCTCCTGGGTAGGTGGAGTTTTGTTCGATAGTTCACCACTGCCATCAACACATGAAGCTCACCAGGGTGGGCCTGAATGAACAGATAAAATAAGTTCCTGAATGAACAGTTAAAATAAGTTCCTGAATGAACAGATAAAATAAGTTCTTGAATGAGCAGATAAAAAAAGTTCCTGAATGAACAGATAAAATAAGTCTTGAATGAACAGATAAAATAAGTCTTGAATGAACAGATAAAATAAGTTCTTGAATTAACAGATCAAATCAGTTTAGCTAAACCTTGAACATAAACATAAATGTGTTATTTTTCATTTAATGTAAAAAAAAAATAAAATAAAAAAAAATAAAAAGTTTATTATGCTGAGTCTAAAATTGGATTTTTAAAAAAAAGGGAGCTTGGGGTCAAGGTATATGAACTTATTTTTCTGTCAGAAGACTATGAAGTATAATTTATTAATATAATTATAATGAGTTAAATGCAAGGTGTTACTAAATCCTTACAGTTGGTGAAGATGCTATGGAGAAAGCTCTTGGCTGGAGTGGTGGTATGAGATCAAACAAGTACTCAAATGGAATTGCTGCACTTGCTTTTGAGAAATCTTGTAAAATCTGGAAGTTGAAATAAAACATATGCAAAGACTAAACATTTTATTTTGTTATGAGCCAATCATCAATAAATACACAGATGCACATTTTGTTATTTTGAATCATGACAGTTTGTAGCCAAAACATTGAACAATGTATATGGTCTGTTGTATTAAAGCTTAAACACACTTGCTACACACACAGTTTGTGTCTTGCAGTCATTGTTGCAATACATGTATCACTAGAGAGGGGAAAATTAATAAACATGTTAATGACAGAGGTAATTTCATATATTTCTCTGTATGGCAAGGATCCCGTCATGCTTCAGAAATGAAAACATACTTATAGCCCTAGCTAAATAAGTAGATCATTACTATTATCATTGAAGTTGAGATAAAAAGTTAAACCACTAAAGCATGACTATCTGTAACCTTTTGTCACAGATCAAATATTTAGCAGACCTGTTTACCTCAAACTCTTAAAATCGTACAGTATCATCACATAATCGTTCAATACATTCTCTTTATAGAAAATAAAACGTGCAGTATATATAATTTATACACCTCAAAATCATACACTGTACGCAAAAATCGTAAGAGTAAACAGGTCTGATTTAGATATTAACTTTGAAGTACCTGGGTGGATGGTTGTTTGAGTATTTTTTTCTTTATTTGCACTTGCTATGATTGTTTTTGTATAAAGTAGCATCTTAATGTTGATTCAACAAATGAGAAGTGGAAGAAGTTATTACAATTATATTTGCTCTAGTTTACAGAGGTATTATTTCATGTAGTGTACATTATTCAGTTAATAAATGTTGTGATGCTAATAACAGACCTGTTTACTCTTACGCTTTTGGCGTACAATGTACGATTTTCAGGTTTATATATACTGCATGTTCTTTTTACTATTAAGATAATGTATTGAAAGATTTTGTGATGATTTTGTACGATTTTAAGAGTTTGAGGGTAAACAGGTCTGTAATAAGTCTTGGAGTTCTGGCCATCGTGCTTTGTTAGATAATCATGGATGTCTGTGAATGTGAATAAATAATATAAGTAATAACTACATGTAGCATCATCACCCTATGTTCGTTACACCTTTCAAATCTAATGTCAACTCTAATGTAATCGCAAGCAGTAGGCTTTCCTTTTTTTTTTTTCTTTCTTTTCTTTCAATCTCATTGCAGACTTTGCAATGCACATTCTGTTAATGCAAAACTTTTCAACTCCCTTTGTAAAGATATGGAATATGGTGATTTTCATATATGATACCTCAAATACACCATACAGGTGTATGGGGGCAAGTTATTTCACAAAACAAGCAATGGATGCTGTATGACAGCGCAAACAAAAAGTGTGATATATGTGATAAAGGGGTTATTTGTCAAATAGATAAAAGAGTTAAAATAAAAATGTAAGGTCTTGATGCTAACGTTGAATGTTTTATCTGCATCTTAGTTTGAATGAAGTTGAATGTTTGCACTTACTTCCAGAATGGTTCTTTTCACTCGGTTACAATATGTGTACAGTTCTTCTTGACCCTGCGGAGAGCAAAACTCCTCAAGCTTCTCTCGCTCCAGCTCATCATGGGCATGGTATTTTAACAGCTCAAAAAATGACCGTCGTGGAACAGAGTTGAAGTCTAAGTAGTTGGTCAGCAACCATCCCACTGTGCAGGGCCGGGGGAAATTGGGTGGAAGTGGGATATCTGAGAGGCAATTTTAAAATTCAACTTAAGTTAAAGAATGAAAATTCAATTAAAAATTTTTACTTCATTTTTAAAAAAAAAATTCTGTGGTTATTTTTTTTCTAAATAAAAAGTGGAGCAAGATATGCTTATGCTCAAACAGAAAAGTGTTCACCTCTGTTCTAAACTTTGAGATACTTTTACAATATTGAGATTTTCAAAAAACTTTTAAGTTTTTATTTTTATCTTTAATTTAAAGTATCTGTTTTTCTTGTTTTGTATTGTCTGCTCAAGAAGGCATCTAGCTGAAGTGTCAGTTTAATTGTGCCTACTTTATTTTTATATATAATTAAAGCACTGCATACAAGCCTAGTAAATGAAATAGCACAATGAGGTATGTGGAAGCTTGAATTAGAGAGAATCCACTCTCAAAGCCATAGTGTGACTGCTATGGGTAACCCCAAGCACGTACACATCCATTATCCATGGTCATTCAACGTAACACTCAGCCGTGTAAAGGCCTTAAATTTTATGTAGGTTATTTACACGCGGGAATAACCATCCCTGCTCCGGGGTTGACCCATGGTCATCTCGGACGCGGGTTCCCTGTGACTGTGTGTGTGTGGAGGAGGGGCGAACTGGGACTTGAAGTGTGTACATTTTGGAGATTGTGGTGTGGAACGGATGCGTCGGGTCGATGGCAGGTGTGAGAGATTTTCCTGTCGGCTCTGTCAACGGATTGTACCTTTTACATTAAAAGCTATAGTTCTCAGACCTGATGGTTTTATTGTGATTTCATTTAAACTGTAAGATACGTCATCCACTCGGCTACATAGAGAACAGGACAAAAAGATTAGGACGTTTCGGCATAGAGCCTTCTTCAGCACACAGGCAAAATCAAGATATCTCAAAGAACAGAGCACGATGAACCACTCAAGAATTATCCATTGTTGTCACCAGAAGTTACTTGCAAGCCTAACATATCTTGTTCCACTATGTATTAACTTCACACAGCTTGGATACAGTCCATCATATATTTTTTTTTTAAATCTCAGTCGTTATGATTTTATTTTAATTTGTCCAATTTTGTTTTAATGATTACATCAAAAAAGTAACCACTTTTAGGTGATGTTTTTAAAATAAAATTTAAGTTATAAAATCTTTATTCCTGCTTTAAAAAAAAAAGGGGGAGGGCAACTATATAGTTTTCCTTGTTCAAAGGTTAAAATAACATTCTGTTGACGGATGAGAGCAATTATTAATGAAGTTTAATTATCTGTTTTTTAATAGAGGGTCAATTAAGGCTCCATACCTGGATCGTTTTCTTCAAGTAGAAATGTTTTTGTCGGGTCCTGTCCCAACGTCTCAAGTAATGACTCAACAGTTTCTGGCATATTTTGTGGCTGCACCATGACAACATCCCCTGGGTTATATCTTAATGACAGGTGAAAAACAATAATAAAAAAAGGTTTTGTATATAATAAGTGTTACGCACTGACTTGTATTGGAAGAAATTAATCTCCTATTTTAATTTTAATTGGCTCGTTGCAAACAGTGCCTAACAAAGGACGATACCATAGAATCAACAATATTAAAGATACGACACCCAAAACAGTTTCTAGTTACAATTAATTAAGATTTATTAAGTCTTAAGATAATTACAAAAGAAAATGAAATATAAAGACAATCTTCAACTTACAGTATGGTAGATCTTGTACCGGTACACAGTTAATACAGTTAGAATAATGTGCCAATAAATAATGCAAAATAAACACATATGAGCACACAAATACACAAAGAATAAAACATGCCTCGTAAAGTTAATAAAATCTATCTGAATCTCCGTCTCTTCGTATCTGTCAATCCCTTATATACATGTAGCGTAAGACGCTTCCAGAAGGACCTATGACATGTTGTTTACATATCTCGGGTTAAGGAGTACATTCGAGAAGTTACCCGGAGACATTCTACCCAATGCGTAATTGGAAGCCGATTGTAAACAAGCTACATCAAAGAGATTTAGCCACGCCCACAACAGACATTACTGTCTGCTAGGAGTGTACTACGAGGTCGAGGAAAGTTCACGCACAGGAAATTGTGCTACATAACAATAAAATTTAAATAAAAACTAAATTTTTTTTCTAAAATAAGGAATATTAAAAAAATATAAACTAAAAATTTTTGAATGCTTTATACTTGTCAATGACTAAAGTTAAAGCAAAATTTACTCACTATAAAATTTTACATTATGTAAACAAATTATTGTAAGATGAAGCCATTCAACAATTTAACTCATTGTTTCTACGAGTAGCATAAACTTTTAAAATGTTCCAATGACTCTTATGAAATAGTGCAGTGGTCGGCAAATTGCTCTTTATCAACCTGAGTGCTGCTCGGCCATTTGGCCACAAATCGATTTTAAATCCAAAAAAAAAAAATGGTTTTTTACAGGTTCTTGAAAAGAAATTTGGCTCTTAAATTTTTTTAATCGTCCTGCTGATGATTTTTGGCTCTTTTGAATAATTAGTTTGCCAACCACTGAAATAGTGGAATGTTAGGAAACTGCAGTTGGTTTTACTTATTTTACTAAGCTGGTTCAGAAAATTTGGTAAAAAACTGTATTAAATTTAAAAAAGGTATGAATTTAAAAATCTTTAATAGAGAAATGGCACGTACCTAATGCTTGACCCAGATATATCCATCTTGATCAATCTGACATCTTGAAAATGATCAGGAGAAGTGACCCTGTTGTTACTTAAAAGTCGAGCATGGAAGGGGCACAGCGGTCCTGCTTTCTTTTGATTTGGATCTCCTGTTGATTCATTATGTTGATATTTTTCAATGTCGTCTCCAACAATAGAAAATTTTTCTATAAATTTTACTTTATATTTTGAAGGAGGGCTAAAGGAAAAAAAACAAAAAAACTTGAGATATGAAATTAGTGAAAAAAATGAATAAAAATAGAACAAGAATGACTTTAAAAAAATAATTATTCATTAACACTTATGTTATTAGAACAAAGAAATGAAACATTGGTTACACTAACAATATTAAAATTATTTTATTTTAAAAAAGTATTACAAATTTGGCTCAATTAAAAATATACTTTTTAAATTAATTAAATTAACAGCTTTTATTTGCAGAATAACTGCACATGGAAACCTACTGAAGAGTCTAAACAAATTTATTGAAAGAGAAGAACTTTTATTATTTATGGATATGTTACACATTAAAAAAATCCTCATGATATCTTTAAAAACTGTCAAACCAAATACTACATGAGAAGTATTAAAAAGACAAACAAAAAAAAGGTCTTACCAGATATCACTGCTAATAATATCTATGCCAGGTGGTAAGGGATATTGACTTAGTACTGCATCCCACAAGTCTTTAAGCCAGGGCGTCACAACCGCGTCGACTCTTTAAATCAGAAAATTAATAATAATAAACAAAACTAAATAAATAATTTAAAAACTTATCTTTGCAACACGCCTGTATCGAAAAAAATAATTAAAGTCTTTATATATATATATATATATTTTTTTTTTGTTTTAAGTTACTAAATAAGGTTATTCTAGTAATAGGACTGTCTGAATGTTCTTTAATAATTTTTGACTTGCCCTAAATCATGTTGATCATCAGCCAGACCTAAGGCCAGTATCGGGTGACCACCAAGTTGCTCTAATCGCTTCTGCAGCCTTTTCCCCACAACATTGTATCTGTTAGATCATATTGTTTAGTATCGTCAGATCAGCATATTATTTTTTAATAAAAACACAATACTAATAAACAATTATCCCTTTCATTTCAATAGCAGAAACTGTATTTTAAAAAAAAACTTGGCCCAATTTTAGATAAATGTAGCGAACATCCTTCATATGCGTGTTCACAAGGTTACAAACTCCCGCAGAATGTGTGTTTGACACAACACTATTCTGGGGCCTAATTTTGTCCACACAAAGTTGAAAATAATAATTTTCTATACTTACACAGTGGCAACAAAGAGAAGTTCACAAAACATCTTATAAAATCCTCACTACACTGACACTAACATTAATCTTGACTGCCACTGACAAACTAGGACTTGCACATTTCCCAATACAGTATTTCCAGCAAAAATAACACCATTTAAACTACTCGCTTGTTTATTGACATCACACAACCCAACCAATGAAAACTGGCCCTTGCATAAACCCAAGCAATGACAACTGGTCCCATAAAACTATTCACCAACTGATCATCAAGAACTATTCCATATGCAATCATAATCAGTTCATAACACTAATTCCCCCTCCTTTTCCCTACTCCATTGACATCATTTACAATAGTGATGTCACACACGAAATTGATAACAAATGTTTACGAGGTGTACTTTTGTATAAGTTACGAAACCAAACCACCGTGATCTCTGAAAGCATCATAAATATAGTTTATGCACACGCTCTGACAAACCAAAACATTGAAAACAAATTCAACATCTGCAACTTGTTATCACAATCTTCTCAAAACCATGTACAAGACATACTATTTTTATGTGCAATAGCCTCAAGAAAATGTATATCCTTGTAAAACAAAAAATCCATTACACCTAATACTTTAGAGAGAGTACTGATTTACTAAAATTACTCTGATATTCACACATGCTGGACATTATCAACTTTATTGATCTCTTAGCCTCCGCTGTTTTCATGGACAATTTTACACCTTGTCATCATGACATTACCTATTGTAACAAAGCAATGACTATTCAAAAAACACTCTCTTGGGTATTACTACATCTCACTATTTCGTATAGGAATCTTAATAAAAAAAAATATCAACATGACCTTTTCCCAATCCCCTATTTTTCCATTTAGTACATCCAAGAAATGTTGCATTACATGACAAAAATATTCAAGTGGGAATAACCACTCCCCAAAACAGCACTGACTATTTCAATCCATTAATGTCATCAAAACCCTTAATCATTTTTTGCTAGATATCCACTGCATGAAGATTTAATCAATCAAATACAAAATCTTATTTCAATGTATATACACACAGTCTCACCATTATCAACAACAACTAATCAACATGAATATTTTATAATTTCATTTGCAAAAACAAGACAAAAGACCATACCAAACAGGAGGCTAGCTTTTATTACATCTACTTGAGCTCTTCTTATAGATGGTGGTATGTTTTGCTGAACTGTTTGTTTCAGAATGTGTGCAAATGTCTAACCCAAACTCAACTCTCCCTTCTCAATTAGATTGTATTTCATTTTACAATGGCTTTTTGACACACAGTCAACCAACATATGTAACAAATATTTTAAATTCGCTGCTTTTACCTCAAAATTGACTTCACTACACATTGTCACACTTAAAAGTTTAAATAGCATAACAAAATCAAAATCACAATCAAAATTGTGGCTATTAACAAAACCAGGGAAATCACTGTTCTCTATAACATCATCATTTTTAGTAACAGATTCAGAGCAATTGAGCTTTGTTACATCATCATTTTTCATTAAAAATTAAAAACTTCACCTTCCAACACATGGACGTTAAAGTCCACATCCACAACAAAATCAAAACTTACACATTTAGAGCTACCAACACGGCGTCTCTTCAAAAAAAATTCAAAAACATATACATGGCCCAACATTCTAGTATCCCCCCCCCTCCCCCCAGGCTTAGAGCACTCCTGGCTCTTATGACATTATAAATTAAATTCATCACAAAGTTCATCAACAATTTTCTCTCCTAGCCCCACTTAACTCCTCCACAGAATAATTGTTTTTTTATAAAATCAACTCAGTTGGAGTCCCGACGAGACGTTTTACCCCAATGGTTTTCAGCCCTTGAGCAACCTGTGTCACCCACAATAAAAGAATTATTATTTTGAACATACTTTTGATAGGATGAGTCCCCTAGACCAAGAACGGCAAACTGCATCTTCTTTAGCGAACTTGATGGCAACTCTTTTCTAAGCAGAAACTTCCAAAAATTCTATATTAAAGATGAACAAGATAGACATTGTAAGATGAAGTAGCATTCCAATGCAATTAACACAGTTTTAGGGCAGAATTGACATTTTTTCAAAGGGTTGACTTTCTTATCTTCTTCTGAAATAAGATTGCGAGCTGTGTGACCTTAAAATTTTACACCAGAAACACTGATATTACAAGTTTAGGCGCTGAATAAAAAAAAAAAAAATGTAGAAATACCTTCATATTATCTGGGGTATCTCCCTGGCCGGTAGTGGAACAAACAAAGATCACCAGCTGCTCCTCTATAAGATTAGCCTAAGTAACATCAAAAACATGAATTGATTAACTGCTTTTGCTTGGTGAGAAGTCAAGCTGATACAAACAAATGGGCTAAAAAATAAACGTTTTAAATAATAAACTGATGAAGTCATAAATGTCTAGCAAATAATTATAACATGAAGTACAGCTATAAAGAATATAGCTAAATTCAGGTTTAGTTTCCTTTATTGAAGTAATAGTTTTCATCTACCAATAAGGTAAATTCACCCCTTTTTAAAAAAAAAAAAGATTTATTCACTCACTATATTGTATGCGTCCATTGCAGAAGCTCTAGATGAAAAGTGCCTTCGTTTAGCCTCTCTTACTATTCTTTCTGCAACATCATGTGCTGTTCCTGTTTGGCTCCCATATAACACTAAAAGACAATGACTTGCTACAGGCATCTTGTTTTCTAGCAACTTTCCTATAGATAAATTTTTTTTTAAAAATTACTTTGAATTATTGTAAATCGAATTATTTTTTAAAAAACTCTGTGGCTCATTTGTCACAATCACATACAGTATTTTAATTTAAGCAGCTGGAAATGACTCATATGGTAATAAAAGGTATTTGATTAAAACAATTTATAACTGTTATTTGTTGTACTGATGAAGGCATTAGCCTTAAAAAAGTTTAAATTAATATTTTTTCTGATGATAGTTAAAACTTTACATACATTGTTTACTTTAAAAAAACTGTTTTTGTCTCACTGTTAGTCTTTATGACTACACTACAATACGGTTAGTCCAATAAATAGTAAATAGTAACAATGCAATAACTGCATTAATTTGTTAGACTGATCTATGTCTTTGACATACGTTTTTTTTTTTGTTAGCCATTTGCATAAATTATGATCAATAAATAATATAAAGCATAGGCAGAGGCATACGGAGGGTTTGGCAAGAAACACCACATGGACATGGCATGAAAACACCTGAAAATTTGGAGTATTACAAACCCAGAAATCCCTGACCCAGTCAATAAAAAATAATTTTGTTCACATTTTAATGTAGGCCTACATTTTTACTTATGCCATGAAATAATTAATAAAAACATAATATTATTATTATTAGTTGTCTATATTAGTATTAGACAACTGACCTAACACAAAATGGCTAGAGACTTTGTGAAAATGTGACGTGAATGACTAAATTGTAGTCCACAATGAATGTCTACAATGAATGTCGTAACATTGACATTATTGAATCATTGTCAATCAGCAATATTACTTCTATGCAGTTGTCCCTGCCGTCTATGCACTCCCATCAGCTTTAAGTTAAAGCTAAGCTAGGGTGACCAATTATCCTGTAATAATGAAATTGTCCCATTTTTTCACGACTGTACCCTGCCCTGGTGTCCCGAAAAAGTCTCTCGGGATGCCTAAATGTCCCGTTTCTAGAAACCAAACACATTTAAAAATTTAAGATAAGAAGGGGGTTTTTAACAATGGCTGGGACAACAGCCAAATATCCCCAATTTAAATCCTAGACCAGAGAAATTTAACTTGTTGTGTTGTATTAGGCTATGTATGTACTATGCTGTAAAATATGTATAAATAAATATGTTTTCACTGCAAAATTATTGTTTTCGTTTAAGATATGCCTCAGAGTTTAAATTAAATTACAAAAGTGAAGGCAAATTTTAAAAGATTTCTAGGTCTCAAAATAGTTAAGCCCTAAGCTAAGCACAATTACTAATTAATTAATTGGTCTATTAGTTAAATTAAATTAAGTTCAGTTTTGACTTTTTTTTTTAATCTTGCATTATAATTTGGTCATCTATCTTCTTTTTTTTTTATTGGTGCCTTAATTATAACTTATATTTATATTGTCCTCGGTAAGTCTCTGCTAGAAAATAGCCTTGCCTTAAAATTGGAAATACTAATTAATTACTACTAATAACTAATAATTTAATAAATAGCCAACAATACTAATATTTAGTAAGATACTAATAACTTTTAATAACTAATATACTATATACTAATAGTATTAAATAGTAGTAATTATATTTATATATATAATAAAGTTATAATCAATGTTCCCTTTAAGCTGCGCGGCCGTGCAGCTATCTGCTATCTCACAGACACCGCACAGCAGTTTTGATTATTCACGCAGTAACTTTCCATACAAGTGTGTGTTTGTATTTGTGGGCTGTAAAATTTTGCACACAAAAAAATCGATGCTGTAAAACTTTGCAGAAACTTTGCACACAACTGTATGATTTGGCACAGGAACCAGCAAACCTTAGGCCTTAGACTTAGAGCCTCTAACTCTAAGTTCGAGGGAACATTGGTTATATATAATATATTGATTATTGAAATGCGATACATTCACTATCACTAAGTTGACTTGAATGTTTCTTGTTTGTTCGTTTGTGGGGAGACCATGTAGTCTAATAACTTTGCTAATAAGTAGCTCTACCTGTAGCTCTTAATAAATTTCAACTATTTGAATTTGTCATTTGTTTTTCAGCTTGTCAGTAGTAAAAAGTAAAATCAACAAGAGTTGCAGTGCTTGAATTGAAGTTTCCAAATATCTTTTTTATAAAAGAGTGTCGAAAGTTTACATGTTATTTCGACTCATTTTCTTTTAATGACTTGCACACACTCATACAAATACTTTGAATATAAACATATATCCAAATAATATAATAAAAAATTGCTAAAACTAATCAATAATAGCTCCTTAACTGTTAAACAAAGCTGAAATATATTTAGAAGTTTGAATTTTTTTTAAATATATTAAAAATAAATTATTTTTAAAAATACGAAATGATCATTAAGCATTGGTATTTGTATTGTTTTTGTTTGTTTTTCAACTTCCTTCTGGACTAAAGAAATCAGCTGACTTATTGGTGATTAGTATAGGATGAGTGGACGTTAAACAAATGTATAATTATTTAATATCTGAAAAATCACTTTTTCAGATCGTAGTTGGATTATTGTATTGAGATTACTATAGTATGGGAATCCCTTATTTGGCGCGATTAATTATTTCTTGTTAAATAAATTAAAAACTTCACTTGTACCTGAGGAGTGATGATACTGATACTCAACTCAGAATCTGATACTGCACTGATCATTGTCATTGATATGGAAATAGTACTAGTCCTAGTACTGACTACCTACATTAAAAGTATTTTTTTGAAACAGTAAAGTAGTAAATATGTTTTAAAAATTGAGAAGTCAGTACAATGAGCCTAAAACTAAGTAAAAGTCACCCAACCTAACCTAGTGAGTAGTGAGTAGTCAATTTTGAGACATGGTAAATTTTGAGTAAATGGTATGGGTTTTGCCAAGAGTTTTCTCACCCTAAGCGCAGTGACGTCACATTGGTGAATCCCAACACTGGACTTAGGGTGAATAGATCAAAGCTTTGGCTTTGAAGGACCCGAATGATGTGTTATAACATTCCTCAGGCGGCCGAGGCGTCGTAAACGATAGAGTTAATATGAAGTATATTGAAATGAAATTTTCCATCAATTTGTATTAAAATTCAACTTACATGTTTCAAAAGAAAGGAAAAAAGCAACACATCCTTGCTTATACCCCAAGACCCAACACAGTTGAAAAAAAAGGTGCCCGCCAAAATTGCTGTAATTTGCTTAGTTGAAAATATCCGCATGTTGAAACTTAGGTAAGAAAAGACTACTGCTTAAATTGCATTTGGAATGATCTTCTAGGAAATTGGAAGACCCCTCCCCAAACCCCTCCCCAAACCCCTCCCCTCGCTTTAAATACCAAAATAAGAAACATAGAAATTCTCTGACCCCTCCCCAGTACCCCTCCCCAATTTAACAAAAAAATTAAAATAAGAAAACAATAACTTGCATTATGTAAATACAGACATCGAAATCTTTTTAGTATGGCACTGTAGACGGTGCTGTAGACAGAAATGGACCTGGGGGAACCTCCATGACATATATACAGTGGAACACATCGTCGGCCTTACTGCTAACTCAAAACCAGCCGAGACACTGACATAATATGAGATATATTATTATATCGAATTATATCTCTATCTACTATCTATAATTATAATACTAAAATAGACTAAATATAATTACTTATAGTATATAGTCTATAGTATTTATTATTGTATTCCATGATTAATAATTCCATTGATATCCAGCAAGATCTGATGATAACCTATGTATGGTTGCCCCCTTTCCTTGCATGTCTCAGTTGGGGATTTTGCAAACTGCCCACCTCAATTATAAACATTATTAGGCTAACCGGCATTTCAATACTTTTTGGGGTTAAAATCATTGAATATGCTATTACTTTAAAAACTAGTTGTGCCCTGGGGAAGCTCAATTAGATTTGGGACTCATTTTGCCCCCTTATTAAAAGTTAGGCCTAATTATTAGTAGATACCTAGAATAGAAGGGATAAATAATAAGTACAAATCATAACCATAAATTGTGAGTTAGTTTTTGCGTATGTAAATGAGGATTTTATGTTCTGCATAGGATTCTATGTTTTTTTCCTGCTGTTAGATGCTGTGAATGTAGCAGGGGGTGGGTATATGTATTTTTTTCTAATTATTTATTTGCATTTCAGCAAAGATATATTTCTAGAAAGCTTTATTTAAACTTTTGATTTCCCAATGGTTGATTTTTCAAAGCCAGCCATGAGCGGAAGATATAGCTCCGGCTGTTATAAAGGAGGCCATGCCAGGGTTTACATATTTTTTATTTATATCTTTAAAATAATTTTTTTCAGGATAGACTGTGGTTCTTCTTGCCACCGTAAACCAAAACCTGCAAACCATTTTCCCCGACAGGGAAATTGTGTATTTTTTGTTCAGTCTTGAAAAAAACCAAACTCAATGGGTACACACATGATCCTGTCAAAATTCACTCTTTGTTTATTCACCGTCACCTACTGCCACTCCACAATTTGGTTGGGTTAGTTTTGTCCATTTTATTTATCAGAAAGAGAATCATCATGTCTGGGATCAGCAGTATCTGTACCAAGACTTTCATGATCAGTAGAATAGACAGAGTCCACAAGTGCCAGCACTTGAAGGTTGTGATGCGGTATGATCATGCCGTAGTATGAAAAGAGAGCAATGAAGGTTCAGAGTCAACCACAGGGGGAGCATTGTAAGAAATTGTATTAAGACTTAACTTTAGCATTAAACATCAAAGACCCATTTAGCATAATTTTGATAATGGAGTGAGACTCTGTGCCAGTTTTCTGACGTAAAAGAAATACGTTAATAAACCTGTTGGTTAACATTGTATGGCGGTTCGGTACAAAACTTAACCAAATGAAAATGGGTTAAAATATTGACAAATTGGGGCCCTTCATTATAAATTTATTTCTAAGGATATACTAATCATACCTCTTGTCACTACAGATATACAAGGTTTAGGTCGGGTGCAAATGCAATCAAATGTATTGGAAAGTAGGTAACAAAATGTTATGTTAACGAAAAGTGTTGAATCTTCTTGTCATCATTATATGACCCTTAATAGATAGTCTGACTACTGCTGAAGAGAACATCTAGCCGCACCATCCGTTTAATTTTCCTGTCTTTATTTTCAAGCCTGAACATATTTTGTTTCAATATTTATTTTCTTTAAAAAAGTATAACTAAAACATAAAATCTATTGAAATTAAAAACTTTTATTTTCTTTCTACACCAAAACCCATCACAACATCAGTGAAATTCTCCAATACTTAAGGAACATACCTACAAAATCTTGTTTCTAGCTTGAGTGGTTATTGTTGAGCAGGTTCAGTTTGCTAACATAATGATGAGGCTAGTGTCCTAACCTGCCATTTCCATTGTGTTATTATTAAGCTATCTCAAATATCCTCTGCATGAAGTTGTACAGTTTCATTTTTTTTAATATGACCACATGCTACTTTTTTCAGGTCGTCTTGACTTTCATTTTTTTGTACATTTGAAGCTGTTCACATAAAAACTCAATTGTTTTTTTTTACTCTATTTTAAGGTTGGAAATACACACAATTTATCATGTTGACCATATTTCATATGGTGATTATTTGTGGCCAGATTTTTATAGCTGCTGTAGCACTTAAACACCAAAATGTAAGTACATCTTTCAGCTTTTTAAAATAAAAAAAATAAGAAAGTATGTTATAATCATAAAATATCTGCTCTGTTTTATCCCTTGCCGATAACTATTTGTTTATTTTAAGATGTCATCCCTTCAATACTAGAAGCCAAATATTCTGGATTAGTTTGACTTTATTAAAACTAATGATGGAGTAACCATGGGAACATATATTATGTTGAAACTGAAACATCCAAAAAGCTATGAAAATGATTCTAAAAATTGTTCTCTAATTCTTACCAATTTTCTCCAGGTATTTAAAATGAGCTCTGATACACCTATCAAGAAAGTTCATATTGTCTTTATGAATCATCTTGGTAAGTCTGTATCTTGAAATGTTTGTGTGAATCATCTGGGTAAGTCTGTATGTTAAAACTTATCAACTCTTTATTTCTTTGTCAGTTCTTTGTTTATTTGAACTATCACATCTGTTTTAATACGTGAATGATAAGTTGCCTAGGTCATTGTCAGGCCCCAGTCCATGCATGATCATGTGACAGATATTTTTTTTGTCAGTGATTTGTTCAAGATTCCTAAGATCTTATGATAACACTCATCACCAATGATAAATTTGCACTGTTGTATCTCAGGCATCCTGCAATATCAACATGACAATCTCTCAAATTTGGCTATTGACTGCTGATAAAAACTATCAATCTGCTTATTCCATTAAGTTTGTAATTGATTTTATTTTGTCCTCAATTGCAGTTTTTGTTTTTTAATTCCCAGATGTTGGCTACTATGATGGCCTGGATCAAGATGCCGGGTTTGCAGTTCAAGTTCTGAATCGCTACCAGTCGGAATACTTCGTGAGGGCCATCAACATCTCACGCAACCTAATCAATCTTGGCTACACAGAAAGGTTTCTCTACACAACCCACCCTTGGCTGGTCTCACTTTATCTGGACTGTCCAGACATCAAACTAATGGGTGTCCAGTTAAAGGTAAACGAGAAAGTTCATCAATAGAATCTCTCTCACTTCTACCCAACCCTGACCCATGTATTGTCCTACTCTCCTCAACGCAGTTCTCAGTTGACTTGCTCTCTCCTGCTGTCTTAACCTTATTCCCTAAACTGGGTTCTCCTACTTTCCTTAGCCTAGCTAGAGTTCTAGACAAATTGCTAAGAGCACTCCCAAATATTTCCTGCTCCAAAGTCCAGCTACAATTTTTTTTGTTTTGTTGCTAAATACCTTTTTGTAACAATTCTGGATATGAAGAACTGTTTTATTTTGTTATCATGCAGTGTCCAAATAAAACCGAGCAGGATGACTTCAGGAAGGCGGTTGTTGAAGGACACATTGCCTGGCATGCCTTCACCATGAATATTCAGACGGATTTCCTGGGTGCCAACCTCTTCTCTTTTGGGCTTGAGCTGGGCCAAAAACTGGATGACATGTTTGGTATTCACAGAACACACGCAACCATGAGTCAAAGAGACATCCCTGGTAGGATCAGCTAACTA